GCACGTCCGCGACGCGCGCCGCATGGTTCTCGTCCGGATCCACTGCGCAATTCAGCCTGAAAAGCAAGTGCTCCTTCACCGTCAGCGTGTGGTAGAAGAGGTCGTCTTGCATGACGTAGCACGTGCGCCGTGTCACCTCGGGCGTCCATGGCTGGCCGTTCACCGTGACCGAGCCGTGGAAGCTGGTGACACGACCGGAAATGATGTCGAGAAGCGAGCTCTTGCCAGCACCCGATGGGCCCATGATCGCGATAAACTGTCCAGGAGCTGCCGTCCCCGAGACGTCGTGCAAAATTACCTTGGTCTCGTCCGCCTTGGTCGACGGGTTGCGGAATTGCACGGATCTGTCAGCGATGTGCCATGCGAGCGTGAGCGTCGAGGCGTCTGTCGGTGTTGCACGTGGCGAAGGGATCGACACAAAGTGGGATGTCATCGAGAAGCGAAAATGAAAAGTGACATTGACAGTGCTGGCGTCCCGCCATGAGGCCAGAACAACACAAAGGCAAGATATCGAACCCGGCGATGCCATTGGTTGCTCTGCGGTGACTGGTGCGCGGTGATTGGCTGCAATGATGCGCGAGTCTATGAAGGAACATTGGCTTGCGGCTTTTGGCCATTGACATCATCAGTTGCAGCTCGACCTACTGCGTGGCTTCTTCAAGTCTCTTACGTCCCGCCGTCATGAAGAGGATATCCATAATCACATAATACATCCCTGGGTGTTAGTACCTAGTACTAGTACTACTAGTATGGACCTGCTATCGCATTTTATGCCCACCTTGGGGGTCGTTGTTAAAATGGGTCAATTTAATTTTAATGAGCAGAGCTCAAGACCCCTGGGGGTCGTGGCTGCGTGAAGTGACGTTAAGGCGCTAGTGTCGATATGGTGGGCTACACGGAGCACCTTGTCGCTTTGATGATGCGTGAACCCTTGAATAGGAGGTGAAATTAAATCATAAAAAGAGGTTTTAATTGGTGCAACTTGTCGTGTTCGAAGCACCGACCTCGTTAAAAGCCTAACTACCCTCACGTTGCCTCGCTCGGACGGGTGATGGCGCGGATGTGCGACTCCAGCCGAGAGATGGTCGCTTGCAGCTCCATAATCGTGTTTGTGGCAGCAGCGCGGTACATGGACAGCAGCTGTGCGTGGCGGCGCTGCATGTCGTCGACTTGCTTTGCGCGTCCTTGCACTTCGGCAGCTAGCTCCGATTTGGAGGCGACGAGGTCGGCTGTCATCACCGCATTTTCCTCTCGCATTTGGAAAGCGATGGCTTGTTGCACGGTCAAGTTGCGCTGCAGCAGAGTGATGGCTTGCCCCTGGTGGGCAGCAGCTTTGCCCAGCGCCAGTACCTGCTTGTGCTGGTTGCACACTCGCTTGTGCTGCATGCACTCGACGGTTCGGAGCCGATAGATCTCGGCCAGCAGCATCTCAATTGCGCTCGACGCCGGCGGGTGCGGCGCGACTGCAACCGAGTCTATGGGTGCGATCGATTTCGTTGACGCGGACATCGACGTCGGCGACGGGGCTGAAGCCAAGGCGGTGGGTGCGATAGCGGCAAATGCCACGGGTGCAGCAATCGAGGTCAGTGGCAGCGCTTCAACTGAGGCTGGGCCCGCAACCGAGGGCCGGCGGGCGCCGGTGGCAGCTGAAGCGGAGGTGCCCTCTGCCTTGCGGCGCTCGCGGCAACTAGCACACAACGCAAGGCCGCCAGCCTTGGGCTGGAACACCGTGGCGCAGTTCTTCTTGCAGTCGTCGCAGAGCATGCGCGCTCGCGAAGCCGTTGCGATCCTCTGTAGCAACTTTCGAAGGCTCAGTATCCGGACACGCACGCGGATTGGATGGTGTGGTGAGCGTATCCGGCTCTTGGAGCGAATCATATCGCTTTGCGCGCAGCGCGCGAAGGAACGAGCCCGCCATGGCGCGATCTTGAACCGTTGTAGGAAGAGTAACCAGCGAAAGAGCGCCAGCCCGAGCCCAGTGTTAAGCTTCCTCGTCCGTTGCAAATTACTACCGACATACAGTTCAGTACACGCGCACGAGGGCAAATGTGTCGTGTTCAGCACTCGGCGGGGCTCAGATCGTAGTTTCCAGCCAAGGGTTATTCATAGTAGGTATAAAAGCATCCTTCATATACGTGGACAACTCGTACCGGCATTTATAACATTAGCGAAGCATTGAGCAGGTCTCGCCTTCTTTGGGGTGGGCTTGCAGGAGCGTGGATTGTGTGCTGATCGTGCATTCACTCGTTGGCCATTTGTTTTGCAAAAGTCCGCGAACACTGTATGATATCCTGTGTCGGCAAGGCGACCGACAGGAGGAGACTATAATGAAGACGACGTACTGTCTTGTGTGATGACGACTCTAATGGTATTCCTTCGAACATCACGCAAACTCGTTTGGTTCTGCGAAAAGAAGCCATGAAAGCCCTCACTGCGTCGCCACAGCGCGAGCACAGTTTAGTCTGCAAGTGCAGGGCATCCAGCCAAGTAGAGCAGTGATATGCTGCAACAACAACGCGTCTGCGGCTACAAGAGCACCACATCGCCGGAGGCCTACCACCAAGCATCGATTTGCAGGTGACATGGAGCTGAAACCGCTGCGTGCGTCACGCGATCGCGCTGCGTTCTGCACTTGCCACGGTGGTGGCTACATGATCCTATCCATCATATCCCCTCGCCTTCAGTACTCTACCCCATGCGATGCATCACTAGTTACGGTAATCGACCTCTTCGTAGAGGCGTGCGCGCTAGCTATCGTTGGTATCGGCCGAGGTAACATGATGAAGCCACGACCGCTCGTGCCCGTCGCCGTGCGTCTCTATGGTTGCATATTGGGATGACGCAAAGCTGGAATATTACGGCTGCTGAATATCTCATGTCAGTCAAATTTTGAGTCCTATTCGCCTCCGATTGTACTGGGATGAATCGTCGTTGACCACCTCCGCCTGCGAAAGGCGTTTGATGTTGGTGGTTGGACTCGACCTCTTACAACAAGCGGCAAGCCCGTCCGCTCTCGGTGGGGCAGACTGATTCCTGTACCCACCCCTGGTGTTTGTCTTGCCGCGGTCGCACACATGCGTGGATGCAGCGTCGTCGGTGCAGCGGCGTGGCGTGCGCCAACGCCAAAGCTTGCCGTCGTGTCGCAACCTCAGCGTGTAACGTCAGAGATCCGTTGCACGTGGTCGCTTTTGTCTTATTTAACTTCGATTCTGCATACAAACCGTGTGACCAATCTATGGTCTACAGCTTCGAACTACGTTGCACATACCAAATATCTTCCGGTCGGATATGTCCTAGTCTTAATCGTCACCTTTGTAAGTATAATCACTTCAAAACCTGGCTTTTTCGGCCTTGGATCCTACCGGAAACGATTGTCATTTTTTCCAACACCCATACCCGACCCGGTGGCGCGTGAGTCACTGCAACCACGCTCATGCAACCGCTGTAAAAGCCCATTCTACAACTTTCCGTCTCCGAGACACCACACTACCATGAAAGTACCTTCTGTGCTCCTTCTCGCGCTCGCCGCTGGCCACGTCGCGGCGCTCGATCGCAAGTTCTACGGCCTCAACTACGACGTCAAGCCGGCGTCGGGCAGCGGCTGCAAGCAACCGTGGCAGATCCAGCGCGAAGTCGCGGCCTTCAAGGCGACGACCGACGCGATCCGCGTGTACGCGACTGCGTGCACGTCCGACGTCCTCGACGCGGCAGCCAAGAACAACATGAAGGTCTGGGTCGGTCTCTGGTCCGACTTGACGTACACGCACGCGTTCGACGGCGAGTTCAACAACCTCAAGCAGCTCGTGCAGAACAAGAAGATCCGCAACGACAACGTCGCCGGCATCCAGGTCGGCAGCGAGGTGCTCTACCGCTGGTACATCCAGGGCAAGAAGGACACGGCCGACAAGACGGGTGTCAACTGGCTCATCGAGCAAATGAAGCGCGTCCGGGCGTACTTGCGTGACAACAAGATCAACATCCCCGTGACGGTCGCCGACGTCATGGATGGCTACAACCTCTTTCCCGAGCTGTACGAGGCGGTTGACGTTGTCTCGGTCAACCAGTTCTCCATGTGGGAAAGCGTCAAGGCCGTTGACGGCATCAGCACGCTCTTTGGTCACTGGGGCGATGTGACCAAGCAGGCTAAGGCTGCGGGCAAGCCCGTCATGATCTCCGAGACGGGCTGGAGCGCCGGCGACGACAAGGACCTCGTCGCCGAGGCCTCGCCGGACGCGCAGCGCGGTACGCCAAGGACTTTCTCGCCTTTGCCGAGAAGCAGAGCATCAACTACTACTACTTCTCGGCCATCGACCTCGTGCACGACGCCGACCTCATCGAGAAGACGTTTGGCATGTTTGATGCGAACGCCAACATGAAGCCCGACATTGTGAACGTCCGCGTCGGCAGCAAGCCGATCGCGACGCGCCTCTTCCACGGCGACAAGGTGCTCAAGGTCGACCCAGCCAACTGGAACGCGCTTCTTATTGAAGCACCGGCGTCCGGTCTCGGCAAGAACCTTGACAACGAGCTCTGGTTCTACCAGCCCGACTCGCAGACGTACTACTCTAAGAGCTCCAACCAGTGCTTGGACGCGTACGGCGACAACAACAACGCGCTCAGCGTCCATGTCTATGCGTGCTCGGCCGAGAACGCCAACCAAAAGTGGAAGATGGCGGACGATGGCCACCTCACCAACCTCCACCTCACCAACCTCAACGGCGCCAACCAGTGCATGGACGTCGACCCGACGCAGCAGGACAAGGTCGCCATGTGGTGGTGCTACGACGGCCCCAACCAAAAGTTTGCGGCGCGCCCGGTCGCGGCCGAGGCCATCACGCTCGGGAAGAGCCAGACGTTCCTCTACGAATGGTACAGCGACGTGATGGCGACCTCGGACGTCAAGTACAAGGACAACACGCTCTGGTTCTACGACCCGCTCAACCAGACGCTCAAGTCGAAGAGCTCGGGCAAGTGCCTCGACGCCTACCAGACCGAGAACGACGTGGCCGTCCACGTGTACGACTGCGACAACAACAACGCCAACCAAAAGTGGCAGTACAACGACGTGACGGGCCAGTGGATGCACGCGTCCAAGCTCGGCCTCTGCCTCGACACGCTCGCGGACGGCAAGACGCACCTCGACTACTGCAACAAGTCCAAGGCGTCGCAGCAGTGGCCCATGGGCCTCGCCGCCAACTAAGTTCTCGTTTTGGGACGATCTGGTCGCACTACACTATTATAAAAGCGTAAAGAATTACAACTCGTACGCAGTGTTTTAGCTACTTGTTTTTGCAGCTGTCGAGCCCGAGGCAGACACGTCGTTGGTCACGCGCCGATCAGTCTCCACGTCCAGTAGCAACACTTGCCAGGTGCGGCGATCGATGCTGCTTGTTGGACTGCCAACAAATCTCTGGCTCGGTGTACCGGTATCTGTCCACCACAGTACCCGCCCAAGACACGGTCCATGGCCGCTGCATTGGCACCGCGACGCACCGAATCTAGCTGACACGCGGGTTCTTGCCCGTCGACGCCGACGGCTTGCCCGATCGTCGGCATGATCGAACGCATGCGACACGACGCCCTATCTTTTGGCGCCGCGTGCAGAGATTCGCAGTACGTTGCAGCGATGCGGACGTTGCTGGCCCCGTTGTCGCCACCGATCCGAGAATGACGCCAACGGTGTTAGTTCGTCGTCCTATCCTGTCGACAGGTCGAGGACGATCTTGCGTCCTACACGACGTACTAAGAACACCAAGAACGCAGTGGAAAGCGCTGTCTACTAATAGTACATAGTAGTACAGTGTACGCGCGTGAGGACGACGCTCCTATTGCACTTGGGTCCGGGTGCACGCTTCCAAAGTAGAAGCCCGGTGGTGTTACCGAGATTGCACTTGGTTTTGAGGCACCTTCTGGTCGCGTTCGATCTTCGAACTTCGGCGAGGAGCTGGCGTTTCCGGCAAGGCCATTGGCTGGCGAATTTGAGACGACGAAAGGCCATTGGTTCGACCAAGTGTTACAGAGCCGGTCGCGATTACAACGCCCGACGCCAAGCACACAGCACTAACCAACTTGCTTCGCCTTGAGCAGCAGCAGTAACAACCATGAAGGTCCCGTCCCTCGCCCTCGCCACGGCTGTGGCCCTCCTCGCCGCACCCACCGCCGCCCTCGACCGCAAGTTTGACGGCCTCAACTACGATACGCGCGGCTACGACAAGGACGGCTGCAAGTACGCGCACCAGGTCGCGGCCGAGTTTGCGGCCTTCAAGAAGACGACGAGCCAAGTGCGCATCTACTCGACGGCCTGTACGGGCAAGATTCTTACCGCGGCCAAGAATGCCGGCCTCAAGATCTGGATCGGCCTCTGGTCGGACGTCCCGGCGTCCGGCGTCTCGGACGCGTTCGCGAGCGAGTTCAGCAACTTGAAGAAGCTCGTCGAGTCCAAGCAAGTGCGCAATGACAACGTGGCCGGTATTCAAGTCGCCAGCGAGGCGTTGTACCGCTATTACATCCAGGGCAAGCGCCCGGCGACGGACCTCACGGGCTACAACCTCCTCATCGACCACTTGAACAACGTGCGCACGTACCTCCGCAGCAAGGGCATTCTCTTCCCCGTCACGATCGCCGATGTCATGGACGCGTACAACCTCTTCCCGGCCATCTACTCGGCCGTCGACGTCGTTTCCGTGAACCAGTTTTCGCTCTGGGAAAACAAGACGGCAGCCGAAGGCGTCGAGACGCTGTGGTGGCACTGGGGCGACGTCCAGAAGCAGGCGCGCGCGCAGGGCAAGCCAATCGTCATCTCGGAGACGGGCTGGAGCACGGCGGACGACAAGAACCTCGTCGTCGAAGCGTCGCCGCAAGCGCAGGGCGTGTACACGAAGGACTTTCTCTCGTTTGCGGAGAAGCACGGCCTCAACTACTACTACTTTTCGGCCATTGACCTCGCGATCCCTGCCGACTTGATTGAGCAGTCGTTTGGCATCTTTGACAAGAACATCAACCTCAAGGGCCCGGTCCAGGCCGTCACCGTCGGCAGCAAGCCGATCGCGACGCGCATCTACCACGGCGACAAGACCAAGGTGCTCAAGGTTGACCCGACCAACTGGAACGCGCTTCTTGTCGAGGCACCGGCGCAAGGCCCGGCCTCGAACCTCGACAACGAGATTTGGTTCTACTACCCCGACTCGCAGGCGTACTACTCCAAAGCGTCGCACCAGTGCTTGGACGCGTACGGCAGCAACAACAACCCGCTCAACGTCCACGTGTATGCGTGCACGGCCGGCAACGCCAACCAGAACTGGCAGCTGACGTCGGACGGTCATTTCCAGAGCCTCAACGGCGCCAACCAGTGCATGGACGTCGACCCGACGCAGAACAACAAGGTGGGCATGTGGTGGTGCTACGACGGCCCCAACCAAAAGTTCACCAAGCGCGACGTCAAGGACGAGCCGATGCAGATCACGGTCAACGGCAACGGGTACCTCAACGAGTGGTACGGCGGCGTCTCGTGGAACCCAAGCATGTCGGCGACGTATCAGGACAATGCGGCCTGGTACTACGACCCGGTGCCGCAAACCATCAAGTCCAAGTCGGGCGCGACGTGCTTGGATGCGTACGGCAAGGGCGACGGGTACGCTGTGCACACGTACGCGTGCGACGAGACCAACGTCAACCAAAAGTGGCTCTACAACGACGTGACGGGCCAGTGGTTCCACACGGGCCACCTCGGCTTGTGCCTCGCGGCCACGGGCAACGCGGGCGATAGCGCCGGCATTAGCCTCCAGCCGTGCGACAAGAACCAGAGCAACCAGCGCTGGTCGTTCAAGTTTGAGACCAAAATTGTCTAAGTCACCACGTTCCAACACTATAATATAACCAGTTGACTTGTAACTGAAAACCGCGACGTTCTTATTTGAACGCTGTTGATGCTGTGTTTGCGACGAGTACTGTACTCTCTATCTATCTATCTATCTATCTATATATCAATCTATCTATCAATACCTACTCTTTCGGTCTTTACAGGTGCGTTCGGTCGCGTCTCAAGCGATGGAGCCAGCAACATCCGAGTCCGACGCATCAGCCGAGAGCGAAAGACGGCAAGCCACTCGTCCAGACACAGGCAATGAGATCTTACAGCATCTTGGTCAAGAGCAGCGGTTGCTGCTGCAATGCTCTCGTGGTCGATCGCGACGTAGCCTTCGCCATGCGTGTTGACACCGCATGTGCACCGGCACTGTAGTATGAACTTGGTAATACTGTAAAACGATGGCAACTGCGACGGAGAGAATGCAAGCCGTTGAGACAATTACAGCCAACTTAATGGTGCAATTACAGAGAGGAAAGATTATGAAATGCGTTCACTACGACGACACTTGGAAAAGCCGTGGTGCTGGGGACGCAACCGACGACAAGACGACAGAGTTCGACCGTAGTAGGGTCGCGAGATGCTTACGCAGTGACGTCGACAGCAGCGGCCGTAGCACCCTTGGTAGGGGCAGGCGTCGGCGGCTCGTAGTCGTCGTCGGAGTCGTCGACCGACGGCGTCGGCGCATCCGTCTTGGGGGCCACCGTGGGGGCGTCCGTCTTGGGAGCCTCCGTGGGAGCAGCCGTCGGGGCGTCCGTGGGAGCGTCGGTCTTCGGGGCTTCCGTCGGGGCAGGCGTCACCGGGGCCTTGGGCTGGGGCTTCGTCGGCGCGGGCGTCGGGGCAAAGTGGAAACCAGGGGCCGGCGTCGGGAACGGCGTCTGCCACGTGAGCTCGACGGCTTCGTGCTTGGTCGTCGCGTGCACAAGGTTCATGTACCACTTTTGGTACAGCGCCTTGGTGTCGCAGAACTGGACGCGGATCTCCTTGTTGACGCCGTCGGCGCTGAGGCACTGCGCGAGCTTGACGTGGTGGATGAACTGACCGGTCTTGTCGTTGTAGACCCACTTCTGCATGACGTTGGTCTCGTCGCAGAGACGGCCCTCGACGAGGCCACCGACCTTGTCTTCGACCATCTCGAGACACGCGGCGCCGTTGGCCTTGTTGCGGATCGTCTGCGAGATCGAGTCGAAGAACCAGATCTGCGTGTCCGGGTGGGCCTCGGCGATCGGGTCCGTCGACGCGCGCACGCGGCCGTAGTACTCGGTCAGCTTCCACTCGCTGCCGCCGACGCTCAGGTGGAGCTCTTCGCCGGCCATCGGGCGCACGCTGAACGTCGTCGACGCGTCGAAGCGGCACTCGGTCATGATCACGTTCTCCTGGGCGTCAATGCCGATGCACTTGCCGCGGGGGCTGTGCGACATGACCATGCCCGTCTTGGTCGTAATCGTGAAGGGCTCGATCTCAAAGTCCGGGCGCTTCTCGACGACGTGCGGCGCAAACGTCGGCGCCTGCGTCGACTTGTGCGTCGGGGCAGGCGTCTCCGGGGCATCCGTCTCGTCATCCTCCGAATCGTCGTCGTCGTCCTCGACCGGGGCTTCAGTCTTGGGCACCGGCGCGCCGCACCAGTGGTGCGTCGAGCCCATGAGCGAGCAGACATGCTGGTCCCAGCCGCTGTAGCAGAGCGTGTAGCCGGCACCGAGGAACTGGCAGTTGTTGATGCAGTCACCGCACTTCTCGGCCAACGGGTCCGACGGCACGACCGGCGCCTTGGTCGGGCGCTTGGTCTTCTTGTGCGTCGGCTTGGGCGTCGGCTTAGGCGTGGGCTTGGGCGTCGTGGGCGGGTTGGTGGCGCGGAGGCTGGCCTTCGTGGGCGCCGGCGTCGGCAAGTCCTCGAACGGCTCCGACATGACTTCGACCTTGCCGTCGGCGACAAACGCCCACTTCTGGTTGTCGTTGCCCTCGTCACACTTGTAGACGTGGAGCACGTCGTTGCCGTCGCCGTCGACGTACGTGTCCAAGCACTGGTTGCTGCTCTTGGACTTGAACATGTTCTTCTCCGCGTAGTAGAACCAGATCTCTTCGTCGTAGTGACCCGTCAAGCCGT